AACCACCCCACAAACCCTGCACTTGAGGGTACAAAAGTATGGGACGATCCTTGGAATAATAAGATTTGCGATACTGACTATCAGTACCTTGAGCCATCCGTGTACATGCCTACCATAAAGAAGTCGAACCTCCACATGGTCGTACTCTGTACCTCTGACGAGGTTTGTGACTGGTGGGACAAATTCTTCACCGACAATGGGTTTAACGCTAATGATGGACAGTACTTAATTCGCCCCGTCGGAACCTCAGCGAAGGAATTATCCGATGAGATCATCGCCTCTGTCAACGAACTGAACTGCGTACTCAAAACCACCACAACGGGACCACCCGAGACAAGCACTCACACCAATACTGACACTACCACCACTTCTCCAAGCTCCGGGACCACTACCACCACTTCTCTGAGCTCCGGGACCACCACCACCACTTCTCCCGGCTCCACGACCACGGACACGACGCGGGGCTCCACGACAACGGACACGACGCCGGGTACGACGCCGGATACAACGCCGGGTAAGAACCAAGGGCCAGTCATCATTGGGAGCGCGGCGGCTGGAACCCTGGCTCTTCTGCTGGGCGCGGTCGGAGCCTACCGCCAGCTCACAGGCGCACCGCCGGAGCTCGACGTGGAGGAAGAAGAGGGCGGCAACGACTACGGCAATGGCGCCCAGCGAGAAGCGGTGGTTGCCGTGGACGAACAGCAGTACGCCTAAGCCATAAAGGCATAGAGCCCCAAAGGCATAGGGCCCTGAAGGCATAGAGCCATAAAGGTATAGAGCCCTAAAGGCATAGAGCCCTAAAGGCATAGAGCCCTAAAGGCATAGAGCCCTAAAGGCATAGAGATGAGAAGGTCCAACTGGTTCCGTGAATGCCTGGAAGATATGAAGGTTGAACCTTGGTCTGTTTCGGATCGTATTTCGGATCGTAAACGCATGTGGGCATGGGGGGGGGGGAGGTAACTCGAGTTGACTCCTACTATTCGGAGACAAATCATGCAGTGGCAAACGGTACTGACGATGTTAAGTTTGGTGTGTGGAGTTGAGTATGAGTGTTTAGATGCGCCTGTTAGAGTGTGGATCCATCAGGATATGACGTCGTCGTTTAAGTGGATTTCAAGTGACCCGTTGAGTTACATTGAGGGTATATTGACGAGTCTGCATGATCGTATTGAAGACTTGGATTTTGGTCTTTCCCTTTTCTGGGATAGGTCTGAAAGTCTTACCCGTCAGTGTTACGTGTTAGTGAATGAGTTGGATGGGAAGGACTTCGAGACCAAGGTGGAGGAAGCGTCGACGATCTTAGCGGCGAATTCGGCGTCGTCTCCTTCCGGCAACGACAGCGCGGAGGACCCGCTGTCTGCACTGCCCATGATCGCGAAGCACCAGTTCGGCTCCTCGACGAAAGGAGCCGTGAATATCTTTGTTATCATCACGGACAACTGGGGCAAGTACCACGGCATGGACGGCTGCGAAGACGGACTAAAGAAATGCGACGCAACGTTCGAAGCAGACGGCTCCGCGCTAAACACGATGGTGGAGGACCAAGTGACATGCAAAAAGGATGTCTGGTATCCAACTGTGGACCAGCTGGCACATTCTCTGCAAGCCTACAATGTCGTCCCCATCACTCTCGTCGTAAAGAAGTACGTAGGGTGGTGGACCGACGTGTGGTCCAAAGAGCTAAAGCTCAAGGCAGATCAAGGCCAGTTCGGGGTCTTCCCAATCACCATGGACGCCGAGGCTGTTGCCCAGACTATTCTCGAGAGCGTCAACAGCGTCAACTGCATCCTCAAGACTACCACTACTACTACCGCAACTCCCACAAGCGCGACCACTAGCACTCACCTACCCATCACAAGCACCTTTGCCGAGCCGGACCAAGCGACTGACAACAAGAAAGCAATCGCCATTGGGGGCTCAGCGGCCGGGGCGGCGGCACTGCTGGCCGCCGCAGCTTGGTATAAAATTCGGAACAGTCCCCCACCGGATCTCGACGTCGGCGAAGCGCTAGGAGACACGGCCGTGGGCCACACAGGAGACCGTGAGTCCCTCGTAGCCATGGAAGAAGACGCCTTTGATTAGACTTCGAGAGTGCAGCTTGGTTTTAAACTGATGGACTCAGACCGCTGGGCTCGAGCTGGGTTCAGACCAACTTGGCTCGTGCACGACTTACTGCCGAGAAGGCCGAGTAGGGACCACCAGTAGAGACCGCAAAGGAATGCACGCTTTATCGGGAGGAGGGGGGTGTAGGGGATGTTGCCGCTGAACTATATGCAGGGTGTATTTGTTATCGTTACGGACGATTGGGGCAAGTACCACGGCATGGACGGCTGTAAAAACGGGTAGCAGAAATCTGACGCAATGTTTGACGTGTGAAGACGGCTCCGGGCTGAACACCACGACCAGCACCAAGTGGCCTGCACAAAGGACAGTTGGGTACCAAACGTTGGTCCACACTCTGGAAACCTGCAACGTGGTCCCCATCACTCTCGTTCTGGAGGACTCCGTAGAGTGGTGGACAAACGTGTGGTCCAAAGAGCTAAAGCTCAAGGCAGACCGAGGCCAGTTCGGGGCCTTCACCGACATGGAAACCACGGACGCCGGCGGCGTGGCCAACACCGTTCTCGAGAGTGTCAACACCGTCAACGGCCACGGCATCAAGACCGCAACCACCTAGACACCCACCTCCGGAACGGGCAACACCGCGTCGTCTGGCACCTCGGGGACCACCGGGACTACCGGGATCACCGGCACTTCAATTGTGCCCGTCATAACTACCGCAGGCGTGCCGGGCACAGAGCCAGACCAAAAGGATGCAATTGCAATCGATAGCGCGGCAGGCGCATGGTACGGACTGCGTGGCAATCCCCCACCGGAGCTCGACGTCGAGGAGACATAAGGAGCTGCGGGCGCTGCCCAAGGAGGAAATCGTGCGTCCACCGTGCCCATGGAAGAAGAGGCTTACCTGTAGACTTCGAATTTTAGCCCTTACTAAACACTAGTCCTAGTCGAAGCTGGGTTTAGAGCACCTCTGTGCGTAACCCGAACCACCTTGATCCACCTGTCCAAGGTACGCTACACAACCGACAGGTGAACCGTTCCGTAAACGTCATATAGCTGCAGAGCATCAGCAACAAGACGGCCCAGGAAAGCGGCCCAGTAGAGAGGGGGTCTGTAGAAAGAGGAAGACGGTGCTGGATGATGATGGCTGTCTAGGAGTTCACGGCTTATCGGTGGGATGCACTGGGGTACGCAGTGGACGGAGCATTTCCAGACCGAGGCAGAAGCCGCGTGGCATCCACTGCCGCGGGGCCGAAGACGAATTGCCGAGATCGCCTGCTGAGCTTTCGATATCAGAGAAATTTACAGGCTCGACGGCAGAGGCGGGCGGTATCTCATTGCAGACCAAATACTAGGGTCAAGTACCAGGGTCAAGTACCGGGGTCAAGTACCAGGGTCAAGTACCAGGGTCAAGTACCAGGGTCAAGTACCAGGGCCAAGTACCAGGACCAAGTACCAGGGTCAAGTACCAGGGTCAAGCACCAAGGTCAAGTACCAGGGTCAAGTACCAGGGTCAAGTACCAGGGTCAAATACTAGGGTCAAGTACCAGATCATCCCCACCTGATCGAAAAGAACCTTGGGCATGTTTTTGGCTGTGGGGTGTTGTGCGATGCAGTGGTTGAGACTAGCAGTTGTGTTGGGTGCTGTGGCGTATGGTGAGGAAGACTGTTTGGATCGCCCAGTTCGGTTGTGGATAACGCAGGACTCGACGAGTTCGTTTGAGTTCGTTTCGGTGAATGCGGAGGAGTATGTAGAGGGATTATTGACGGAGCTGCATGAGAGGATCGCGGATTTCGACTTTGGTTTTTCCCTTTTTTGGGATCGGGGTGAGGACTTGTGTTATGAGCAGATCAGCGAGTTGGACGGGAAGGACTTCGAGACCAAGGTGGGCGTTGCTGTCCAGGCACTCAAGGACGCGCCGAGCACGGTCAATGGCAATGACATGGCTGAGGACTCGCTGTCGGCTTTGCCCATGGTGGCGAAGCACCAGTTCGCCTCCGCCCCTGAGGATGCCGTGAAGATCTTCCTCATCGTCACCGACGACTGGGCCAAGTACCACGAGCAGATGTACCAAGGCGAGGCTTGCAGCGACGGCAGATGCTTTCCGCAGTTCGAAACGGTCCCTGGCAGCATGAACACAAATCCTTATGACGAGGTAAACTGCAGCCGCGACATCTGGTACCTCACCGTCGACCAAATTACGGAACCTCTTGCGACGTACAATATTATCCCAATCACGCTCGTGGTCGAGAAAAATGTTGACTGGTGGCAAGACATGTGGGGAAGGGTCGCCGGACTCGACGCCAGCCAAGGCGAATTCGGCGTGTTCCCCTTCACCATGTCAGTGGGAGGCGTGGCCGAAGCAATCGTCGACAGCATTAACACCGTCAGCTGCATCATCAAGACTACCAGCACCAAGACGCCCACAACTGGCACCGGGACTACCACCACGACCGGGACCATCACGACCGGGACTGGCACGACCGGGACTGGCACGACCGCGACAACCGGAACCGGGACAACCGGAACTGGGACCACCTCAACTGTCGCACCCATCATAACCACCACTGGAGTGCCGGGCACAGAGCCGGACCACAACAAGGCAATTGCTATCGGCAGCGCGGCGGCCGGGGCGGCGGCATTGCTTGCTGGCGCGGCTTGGTACAAACTGCGAGACAGCTCCCCGCCGGAACTCGACGTCATCGAAGAGGAAGGAGGTGCGGATGCGGCCCAAGCCGGAGAGCGTGAGTCTATCGTCGCCATGGAAGAAGAGGCTTATGAATAGATTAGAGAAGAGGAATAGTTGAGACGCCTTCGAATTTTCTTGCTACGAAAACACACTCAATACAAGAGTTGCTAGCCCGTCCTCCGGAGTCCCGAAGAATGCTCGCACTCCCGGCGTCGAACAGGACGACTCAATTTTTCGTTGCACAGGTCGACAGGCATGGTGGTCGTCTTCTTGTCTGCCGTCTTCTTGTCTGCCGCGGTAGATGTCCGACCAGAAAGACGGAGTGGCCAGTAACGCCCCGTGTGATTGCGGTCAAGGTCTGGCAGTAGTTCTGTTGGGTGCTGTATGATGAGAAGTACTCCTTGCTTCGGTTGTGGACAACGCAGGACATTTTCGGGAGGCTCGGCTACCGTCGAGAGGGCAAGGTGGCCGACTGGGAACAGGGGAGTGCATGCGTTGTTGGTGGGGGAGTGTTCTGGGATGAATTGGAGATTTCTGTCTGTACTGCTTGGTGCTGCCGTGCGGGGGGAGGAGTACGAGTGCCTTGATATGCCTGTTAGGTTGTGGGTCCATCAGGACATGACGGTATCCTTCAAGTGGATTTCAAATAAGCCCACTGGAGTATATTCAGGGCATCTTGACGAATCTGCATGATAAGATAGAAGACTTCGACTTTGGCATTTCCCT